ATAAAATTAGTAAACAAATAAAATAAATAAATAAATAGAAGATCCCCCTTCAACTCTGTTACTCTGATGTCACCCGATGTATGGTATCTTAACTTTTTCACTAATCCTTAAAGAATTAATTGGTGGACTCTGGACAACACATTTCTTTTTAAATGGAGCGGAGGTCGTCAGAATCTGTTTTTAAAATGCTGCCTTTTGACAGAACGATTTTACGGGGCTCTCGTTCATTTCAGACCCTGAATGTGGATTGAGTGAGAATGACAGGCCAAAGTTCTCTAGAGAGTTTCCATGATTGAAGAGAAACTAGAACTTGATTGTCCCCATTCCTAGTCCAACACTTTGACCGCTCCTCCTTTTTTAACCTCTATAATTCTCTCTTGAGCACCAAGTTATAGAAATGAAAGCCAGTATATATGATTCCGTTATTACAGACATGATTCTGTGCTGGAGCCAATATTACCTTGATGAGCAATATTAAATTGAAGTGAATCCAAACATTTAATTCCATTTAATTCCATTTATTTAATTGTTTCTCAGGCTTTGGAGAGCATCCTTCTGTGAACAGAAATTGCTTTTCTGCATGAAGCAAAACATCTGGAACCAGCCCAATAGATTCTCCTCTCAAGGCTGGGATAGCGAAATAAAAAAAAAAAACTGGTATTCACATTCAAGGGACAATTCCAGGGTTTAAGGTCAAATCTCAGTTGAACATTCGTCATGTGAATTTCCAAGGAAGCCCAAGTAGAACAGACTGTACTGTAATGCAATATCTCTCAAATACTAAAAAAAAAAAAAGGAAAGGAACTGCAGCTGACATGTTCATCATGATTAACTTAAAGTTAGATTTTGATCATGGATAGGAGTTTGACTCTCTGACTGTAGTATGAAAAAAGGGATACAGATTATCATGATGCAGTAAAGTAGAGTAAACCTCATTGCCTTTTAGTAATGATTTGAAATAAATCAAATCCAAATCAATAAGGCGTATTCCTAAGTAAACCTTCTTAAAATCAACGCATGAAAGACAAAAGATTGACAAGAGGGGGGAAAAGGAAGAGAACATTTATAGATAGTATCCAAGCAGGACTGACAAAGACCAACCCTGGGTTTTCTTGAAATAGGTCAGTCACTTGCAGCAACCTTCTGCCCTTAACTACTCAGAAGGTATTTTTGCAAACCCTCAGTTAAGCCCAAGGAGTTACGTTCCACTTACGCAGAGGGAAATGGAGGCCCCTGTCCCCATGTTAGGTCTGGACCAGAAGTTCTCTCAGGCGAGAAGACCCACAGGCCAACCATGGTGTTCCTCTGCCCGTCAGCAGCTCAGCGGGGCTGGGGCTTTGTAGAAATTCCTCCTTCCAGGTAGGCTTGGCAGGTGCTAAAGTAAACAGACAAAGGCAGTCCTCAGCAGCACCAGTTTTCTGCTTAGGACACTCTGTAACTACTGAACCCTTGGACAGAAACTCCCTGGGATGTCAAAGCTAAGGAGGTTGCCATGGCATCCTGCATACACATACACACCAGGAAGCCATGACTTCCGGCATTTCTCTCTGGGCAACAGCAGGCACTGACAGGATTAAGTGGAGTGGCAAACTGGAGAGCCTTGGTGCATAAAAAAGGCAGAAATGACTCCATTGTGGGGACCTTTCCAGAGTCTTCCTTCTGCGAAGAGGCAACCCAAGTTTTTAGATCTATAGTTTGTTAGGGAAAGGGAATAGTTGGAGTCAGAGGAAATCTTCTGGGGCCCAGGACCCGGAATTTGGGGAACGCCAAGTCATCAGGTATATACAGTCCTTCGCAGGAAACAAAAAGTCAGTTTGGAGGCCATGATGGTATGATTTAACCTCTGCCAGTTCTTTGTGTGCGTTGTTTGGGCTTCTTTGGAAATTGATGCTTCGTCTCTGGATGATGGTAACATAACCACAGGTCACACTTGGTTATCAGGCATTATGTGTGCATAAAGCAGAGGTCCCCAAACTTGGCAACTTTAAGACTTGTGGACTTCAACTCCCAGAATTCTCCAGCCAGCACAGAATTCGGGGAGCTGAAGTCCACAAGTCTTAAAGTTGCCAAGTTCGGGGATCCCTGCCTTAAATCCCACCAGCCATGAGACTTGCAGTGAAGGTTCCAAAAGACAGCAGAGGCATCAGGGGTCAACTCCCCCTTGCCTTAATCTCTCCCCTTTGGGTCATCATCAAGGCCACATTCCATCAGTGACAAAACTAGCCTGAAATTACACTCCTAACTGCCTGGATAGCAATAGCAATAGCACTTAGACTTATATACCACTTCACAGAGCTTTCCAGCCCTCTCTAAGCAGTTTACAGAGTCAGCCTATTGGCCCTAACAATCTGGCTCCTCATTTTATCCACCTCGGAAGGATGGAAAGCTGAGTCATCCTTGAGCCTGGTGGGATTCGAACTGCCAAATTGCAGGCAATTGGCTGCAGCAGAAGTAGCTTGCAGTACTGCACTCTGACCACTGCGCCACCGAGGCTCAAATAGGCCAAATATTTACACGTATATTTGTGAATGTATAAAGTGTTTTACTGAGGAGACTTTAAGACAGGCGCACTCAATAACTGCATCCAAAGGGACAATAAAACAGATATATGCAATGATACGCAATAAAGAAAGTGCAAAATAGGATAATAGGTTTAGAACTCGCATCTCCCCAGTCTTGCAAATCAAAGCAAAGGCCAGCGTAGAAAAATCCTGGGGCCTCTTAAGTGCCCTCAGTGAGGCTTGTGAGAACATTGCTGAGCTCCAGGATTTTCTCCGAAGCCATTCTCTCCAGAAGAAGATCATTAGCCGGGCCCAGTTCAGGCCATGGCATTCGTGTCCCAGCCTTTTGGGCAGAATCACCACCCCGAAGGAAGCTTCTGCTGGTAATCATCCATCATTTGACAACTCCAGAACCTGTGGATGTGGAGGAGCTTTTGAGCATTTCACGTGTTGCTCAGGGGTTCTGTGGGTGTGGCTTGGTGGGCGTGGCTTGGTGGGCGTGGCAGGGGAAGGATGTACTGCAAAATCCCCATTCCCTCCCCACTCCACTAACCTGCTTTCCAGCTCCGTTCTCCTGGGCAGGGCAACCAAAGTTGACCTACAGTACTGCATTCTAACCACTACACCACTGAGGCTCTATGGAGTATCACTCCATGGCATGACGCTCCATGGAGAGGACCTCCCTGCCCC